CTGCCCGTGTTGGCTCCGGACGTTGCTCGAACAATGTCGGCCGTCCTCGATATCCTCGATCTCCTTCTATCCGCCCCAGGAAAGGACATCCGTATCGTGAGGATGCTCATGGTCAACCTCACGATCATTATCCTGTTCCAACGGATGTGCCGCACTCCCTACAGGTTGCTGGAAGCAATGAAGGGGTTCCTGGAAAGTCTCGAGACCAACGACGCTTCTTCACTTCAGCAGCTCTGCGATCCCCTCTGTTTTACATGGATTACCCAGCCCCTAAGCAGCGCCGACCACGACGACTACGCTGGCTATGTGGTGTTCCTCGAAGCTCTAACCAACCACGACTTGTTCGGCAAAACCGTGATACAAGTCATCGAACAGGCGTTACCCCTGATTGGACAGCGGATGTCAGGCAACTTCCTCCGCGTACTATCCTGCCTCCACCAGGCCTTCCTGTCTTTCCCTCTCGACAGCGAAGAACTATCGATGCACTGGCTCGCAGTATTCCTCCGATTCCACGACGCTATCGTTCCCCTCCTCTCCGCCCAAAGTTCGGAGCTCAAGAAGCTCTTTATCGAATACGACTTCTTTCAGCTCTACCTTCAAGTCTCTTCAAAGGCATGGAAGTGCGCTACAAACAACGTCATCCAAGTCAGAATCTCAGTCTGCCTCGTGCAAACATTCAGCCTGATGACAGCATGCTACTTTCCACGACGAGGACCACCAGGCCACTTCCTCCCTGACGAACTATTCACGAGCATCCTAGTCGGACTCGCCAACGCAGAAGAAAGCAGTCGCTCTGCAGAGTTTATCGGACGCAATCTCTCGCCCATTGCACAGCTACCCTCGCGTCGCGTCGTCCAATCCCTGGCCGCTGCGATCGACAGCATCCCGTTCAGCGCCAGGGCGAAGTTGATAAAGTTTACTCACCCAGCTTCGCATCACTGGAAGGTCCTCCGCCAATTCGCAGCTCTGAACCTGGATACTTTCGAAAACCCGAAATCTTCAGACCCCGTCCTGTGTTACAACGCTAAGGTATTTACATATCCACTCTCGTACTACGGGGTGCTCATACTCACTTTGAAAATGCGACAGCACATTGAACTAACAGCTCCGAAGACCGAACGTCGCATGAAAAGAAAGTTCAAGGTCTGTTCCAGGTGCAAAGTCGCGACATACTGCAGTGCGCAATGCCAAGTGGCCGACTGGGCCCAGTTCCACCGCTCTGAATGTGGCACCTTTGCTCAAACCCGACGAGGTGAATTTCTTCCATTCCCTCTTTACCCACTCGTTTACATTCACCTAATGAACACCCTCCATACTTCGTAGACCTCGAGAAGCGAAACGTTTGGATCTCGCATCTCATCAAACTGCACGCACTCGTCTTTACCGACGCCTTCATCCGTTTGCGCGACGCTCCCAATCCAACGGGGCGGTTATTCACCCCTTTCACTTCCGTCGTGCTAGAAAAGATCAAGATGAAAGGTTCCAGCTCGACGCCCAAGAACTGTATCTTCCTCTCATCCGACGAACCTGGAGCAGATCGCGAATCAGTTCTGACCATTCAGGAGTACGTCGAAAAGTACTCGAAATGGCCTTTGTGGTCGCAGGAGCGCTTCGATGCTCTTTTGGCCATGGTTCAAGACCGAGACGCTGTGCTTCTGGCTTATGATATGGGCATGGTGGCGTATATTTACCACCTTCTCCTTTTCTTCGATAGAGGGGCCCCGAAGTCGAAGCAAACGCTTTTCCTTGGGATGGTGTTGCAGAGGTGAGTGGTGCGACGGATTTCTACGGATACCGGTTCCTGATGCAGGCATTCATTCAGCTAATTGCTTCCCTGTCTCTGAGGGTCATCTACGACTCCCTTGCTCACGGCTTGGACGGAATATACTTGTAATTTTATCGTATGTTTAATTTCGTCATCAATGTCTTATGAAAAACGTAACTTTCGACCTTGGGGCGAACTCGATACTCTGTGTCATACGGAACCAGGGAAGCGTCCTCAAAAATGCTGATCACTAAGAGATAGGGCACCATCCTCTCCCTGAGTCAAGTACAACGGTGTCCCAGGTGCGATCTTGAGTTGTTCGTAGATATCGCGGTTGAGTACGATTGGCGCCCCTTCGCTGCACGGTAGCCATCAGTATCCTGGTGTGCAGTATATACCACAATTGAGCCGAATACTCACGTTCCCTTTTCAAAAAAACAAACAGGTTCGGTAGGATCACCTTGCTCCCTTTCCTCGTCTCTCATCTACACCGTAAAGATCAGTTTCACATCAGCATTTCGACACAAAACTCCAACTCCTACCGCAGCTGCCCTTTTGGCGTATTTGTCCGCTTCGTTAAGTTCTCTAGGGATGAGCCAAAACTGGATATGACATCCCCGCTCTTCCTGGTACCTAACACGTCCCAACAGCGCCTCCCACATATCCCGATTAGCAACCGGCTTTCCATCACTCTTCCTCCAATTATTCGCTTTCCACTTGTGAATCCGTTCAGTCATACCCAGCACGACATACTCGCTGTCCATAGCGATGATCATATTCTCAAACGACTCGCCAGCCCAGTTCCTCATCCCAACGGCGCAAATCGCAGATCGGAGTTCGGCTCTATTGCTCGTATGCCGCACACCGTCGACGCCCATTCCAACCATGATAGGCACGTAATCCTCGCTGGGGCCAAACACGACAGCAGCCCCGGCACGTGGTGTGTTCGTGCTGGATCCATTATCGAAGCAGGCGCCGTCAGCGAATACCATAGCCTGCGACCGCGATGCGTCACCCTTCCTGATGAACCGATATCCTACCAGGTTGGCTTTGTTGGGTCGAACGGCGAACAGGTCGGCGGGTGTTGCAATGAGCGGGCTGGGATAAAAACGGCGGTTGCGGTCGCAGAGATTAGAGGGAAGAACTTGGTAGTCCATGTAGGATGGGTTATGTGGTTCGTTAGACTTGGGTTGGGTGTGGAGCATGGACGTGGACATGGTGGTTGCGGAAAGACGGTTGGCGAATTTCGAACCGTCAAGGATCCGCGGAGTTTGAATGTATTTCTCGAGGAACGACTGCGCGAAGATCAATCAAACTGCCGCCGCTCCTCTCGTTGATTCATGAATTTGGACTCCGAATAACAGTCCCTTGGCTTGTTCCTATGTACGGTATCAACTGATCCCGATCCTCTAGGTCCTATATATCAACGGTGAGTACTGCAAAGCCACACCGACTGGGCGTTCCGGCGGTTTTGCCAACATTTCAAGTTGTTCACGTACGTGCCCCAGCGGCGGTGACGCCAACGTTAAATCCGAATCAACGATGGATATCACAGAAATAGGCGCCCAGTTGAACGGAACGGCGCAACGGCTAATAATAGTCTCGTGAACCAGACTCGATTCCTTGGAGACTTTCTGTGATGTCTGAGTGGAGAGTTCCATCCTTCCCCATTCCTCGCAAGCCTATATGCTCAATCCCATTTATCCATCCCGTCTGGTCCACCTCAGGCACCGGTTGACTGTGACTGAATGGTTCAAGGAGGACTCTGCTGTTCGCCGATTGTCCCGTCGAAGAGAAGCGTGCGGTTGATCTGGTCCGGAGGTACCGCAGAATGACTTGAACCCCGTGGCAGATCCCCATGACGGGTTCTTTACATTGACTCGAGTCCCGAGAGAAGATCCTCAAAGTTCTCAGGGAGGGCCTTGATTCAGGTTGGATGACTAGATGCCCGTGGCACGAGTAACTCAAGTTCTTGGTATCTTTGTTGATTGTTTCGTTTGAGCGCTAACTCGATCTTTTTGCTGTGCAAAAATAACAGCTGTGTGCGACTCGCCAGCATACATTAAATGGCCTAACCAATCTAGCCCGCGCTCTCTCCGTTAATTCCAGGATGAACTATTACACCCCTTGACAACGCTCGACAGGTAAACTAGTTCCTCGAGGTCGTAAACATAGGTCATGGACGCTCCTTCAGGTTTCTCAATAGTCCGAGGAAGCTAATTATATATGCGGACTTATGGTGATAACACCCTGGAGAACATGGTTCTCGGTAGAATACCGCGGAAAGTAAGACGCACGAAACAGATAAAAGGTCGAAAACGGAGGGGCAAACAAAATAATAGCCCCTCACCTGACGGCATTCTGGTACGTTCAGGCTCGTGCATAACCTATAACGGACAACTCTAATCGTTTAAACACCAGAACCAAGACTCCAAGATGTTTTCCATGCTCTCTTCATTCGTTCTCGCATTGGCCGCACTCGCGCCTACAGCGCAAGCCCACTGCGACCGCTCCTTCCTCGAATCCATAACCGCCAACTACGTCGCCGCCCAAACCGCGGGGAGGGTCAACTCGCTCAACATCTCCTCCTCCGCCGTCTACACCGAAAACTTCCAACCCACCGACATCACCACCGGCATCCTCTCCCAACCTCTCAAGATCGACTCTGTGAAGAGCATCCATGATACCGTCTCCTGTTCTGCTTTCACCGAGCTCATCGTTACGGACCCTACCCATCCCTATGTCATCGGAACACAGATTCGGCTAGGCTCGAGCCACGACAAGGGACGCACCCCAAGCAAGGACCTCGAAATCGTCAAAGTAGAAACCATCGTCACAGACGAAGGCGACTGGCTCTTCAACGCCACCGGAACACTCTACTGGGCAAGCCAGGAGAGCTGGGACCCCATCCCCCTCGAGAAACAAGATACGAGGGAGACGCTCCAAGCAGCCGCCGACGCCTACCTCGACAAATTCAAAGACAACAGTGTACAAGTCCCCTTCAACATCCCCTGCGCCCGCCTCGAAGGAGGCCTGTACACTGGCCAAGGTCTCCCCACCGATTCGTGCGACTTGGGCTTCCCTACCGGAATCGATATGCTCAACCGCCGATATGTGATTGACCCACTTTACGGCGCAATCGAGGTGATGTTTAACTTTGGTGGACCGACGAGCAGTCCCGATAGCCACTTGTTCAGGCTGGAGAATGGGAAGATCAGGTACGCGCATACCATGACAGTTCTCAAGTGCCCTGGAATGTTGCCCGAGGACCCGTGTAACGCGTAGTAGTGAGTCTTTTGTTACTCGCTTTCTACGCTCCAGTATGACGCTTCCTTCGAGAATGGTAGATAAACTGGAAGCCACCTGTCATTGCTACTCCCCAACCCATCTACATAACTCCCCGCACACTCTCCCAAACCATCTCTTCCTTCACAAATCCAAAGGCAGTCGATAGCGCAGATAAAATAACATTAGTAGGAGACAAGGACATAACAATGAAGACGAGATCTGCTTTGCTACAAGTACAACTTTTATGCAAAAAAGCCATCGGCATTCAGTTTTTAAGAAAGCGGTCGTGAGTGGAATGAGTGGAATAGAAGATCATTAGAAATGGAGGAAGAAAAGATGAGATGAAAATAAAATGAAGATAGGGACGACGACAAAAATGAACGAGAATGGATGGATGATGAAATGCATATGTACAGTTGGGCGAGAGAGAATTAAGAGGCTAGTGTACACAGGACGAAAGACATCGGGAGAAATCATGAAGATGATGAATGGACAGACGCGGGATAGTACGAGCCAGTCGCACACACCCCTACACAAATTAGATAATTACGAGGCGAGAGTAAACGTTCTGGGGGAATGTCATCATCGGGGGTATCTCATAACGGGGTCGGGGCATGCATTAGGAGATGTCCAAGGTCGCTCGCTCCATTCGAGACTCGCCATTGCAATCACAGACCGGCACCTCCAAGACCTCCCACCCATCATATCTGCCCAAACCGGTCCGCAATCGGCGAGACCACAAACGACCTCAGTCTGCTCAAAAGAAAAACCGCGTCGGCAAAACATATCCACAGGATGGGAAAAAAAAGGACGGGGGGTATCGTGAAGAAGATCTATGCGTACGAAGGTCCAGGAGCGATAGCAGGCGGGCGGCGCATGAGGTGGTGCGGTTCTTTGCGGTTCGCGCCGGCGAGCTTGTTGATGGCGTTGAGGAGGTCGCCTCGTCGGAGAGGTTCTAAGCACCCAGGCGTCAGCACGATGAGAATCATAACGCGAAAGGAGAAGACCTACTGGTGATATGATCGTCCATACCAGCCTGCAAGCACCGTTCACGATCACCAATCACTACGATCGCAGATTAGCACCCCGAATCACCAAACACAAAAGATAGACATACTGGCATGAGCAGTCAAAGCAATGATAGGAGTAGCCGTCAACCCCTTATGCATCTCATACGACCGAATCAACTCCGTAGCTTCCATACCACCCATGAAAGGCATAGACACGTCCATCTACAAACCCCACCTCATTAGCATCCAATCACAGGTGAAAAAAACCAACGATAGAGTGAAACTCACGAGGATAATATCAAACGGCTTATTCTGCGCAACCCTCGCCTTGAACGCATCAACCGCCAAACTTCCATTCTCCGCAATCTCAACACTATGCCCATATTTTTCCAAAATCTTCACCGCCAGCTTCTGGTTAACCAAGTTATCCTCCGCCAGGAGTATATCAAACGTCACATCGTTCGGCGCAGAGACAGGCGAAACAGTGTTACTCTCGAGGGCGGAGATGAGTGAAGACGCGAGGTCTTGGGCCGATACCGGTGTCGTGATTTGCGAGGAGAGCGAGTTGTCGAGGCACCATTTGAGGTTGAGACGTGGGAGGGAGGGGGCAAGGAGGACGATAGGAATGTACCGCAGGTGTTCGAGTTCGCGAAGTGATTCAACCTATCAAAACCAACCGAGACGCCATCAGCCCCTCGATACCACCCGACAAAGAACGAAAAGCGACTACGCACCACATTCAACGAATCAACAACAATCGTATCAATATGCGGACACTTCTCCTTATCCGCCACCTCCGCAACCTCATGAATAACATACGGCCTCAAATTCAACTCCTTAATCCTATTTACCACTCCAGTCGTATCCCTCAGCGTATCCACGAACAAGATCGTGCGTTTGGCGAAAGGCTGCATCTTGCCGAGCGTAGCCTCCATAGACGAGTGGTTGATTTGCGACGTGATGGTGAAGTAAAACTTGGATCCCTTGGACACTTCCGACTCGACCCACATGTTGCCTTGCATGAGCGAGACGAGACGCTTGGAGATGGAGAGACCGAGACCAGTGCCACCGTATTCCTAAACGCGTGCGTGAGCAACGAACGAACGAGAAGATAAAAGAGAAACATACACGAGTAGTCGAACCATCAGCTTGACAGAACGTGTCGAAAATCAAGTTCAACTTGTCCTTGGCAATACCAATACCCGTATCCGTAACGCAGAACTCGAGAGTAACACTCTGATCATCCATCGCCAACAACCGCGTGCTCAACGCAACCTGACCCTTCCTGTTCACCTACATCACAAAACCCATCAGCCTCCAACTCCAAAGTACGAGAGATCACGACGACGAACCTTGGATGGCGTGAACTTGATAGCATTACCAACGAGGTTGGTGATAACCTGTCGGAGACGGAGCGAGTCGCCGATGAGCTGGTCGGGAATATCAGGCTCGACGTCATACGTGAGGTCGAGGTTGTTCTGCGAAGCGCGGACGACGAGGGTCTTGAGGATACCAAAGACAGTCTGGCGGAGGGAGTAGGTCACAGCTTCCATCGTCATCCGGCCGGCTTCGACTGTAGACAGTAATCAAGGGTCAATAACCAACCCCAGCCCACGCAAACCAAAAAGGAAATACGCACTCTTGGAAATATCCAAAATATCATCAATAATCAAAAGCAGTGACCTCGCCAACGAATGGACGAGCAGCAAACTCTCGCGTTGCGATCGATTAAGATCACTATCGAGCGTAAGCTCCGTCATACCGATGATACCGTTCATAGGCGTCCTATATCCCAAGGATTAAAACACATCAGCTCTCATCCTACTAGAAAAAGAAAAGAGCGAAGAGAGAATAAGAATAGGCCACTCACCGAATCTCATGACTCATATTCGCCAAAAACTCACTCTTACTCCTATTAGCCAACTCAGCAGCCTCCCTCGCAGCCGTATTCTTCTGAATACTATCCCTCAAATTGAAAACCATCTGGTTAATCTGCGTCTTGAGACTATCCATCTCACCACTCGCTTCAACAGTGATGAATCGCGTGAAATCACCGTCCATCGCCGCCGCACTGATTTGCGCGAAACCTCGCACTTGGGTTGTGAGGTTGCCGGCCATGGTGTTGACGGAGAGACTGTGAGCAGCAGAACCAGCGTCAGCTACGATGGGGAGGATAGAGGGAAGGAGAAGGGACGCACGTAATTTCCTGCCAAATACCCTGCACGTTCCCAACTTCAGCTTGAACGCCAAGCTTTCCTTCCGTTCCGACTTCTCGAGCGACCTACACCGAACCCAGTTAGCCCTCCTTTCTCCTACTCTCCCCTCCCATAATAAAAGTAGAACGCACCTTCTTAACCTCGGCAGCGAAAATAGCCAACTGGTCAATCATGTCGTTGATGGTATTGACGAGGGAGAGCATTTCTCCAGAAACGGAAACTCCAGTGATCTTCTGCGTGAGGTCACCACGGGCTACGGCGGTCTGTGCGGTGCGAACGAGCGGGAGCGAGTGTATTAATATGATGAGTGTTGGCGAGAGCGAGTGCATTAATGCGACGTGGATTGACGCGAGCCGGGAGAGCACAGTCAACCGTCAGAAAACCCACCACCTCAACAAACCAATATTCACGCACCGTAGCAACAGCAATAGTCCGAACCTGCAACGTCAAATTGTTCGCCATGACGTTGACATTATCCGTCAAATCCTTCCACGTCCCACCAACATTCGTAACACGCGCTTGACCACCCAACCGTCCTTCCGTTCCGACTTCCCTCGCCACCCTGTAAGCAATCATCCGTCAGTATTGTTCCTTAATTGGTGGCACGCCAATCAGGCGGCGATACGCACCTCGTAACCTCATCAGCAAACACACTCAAACTAGCCGTCATCCCATTAACAGTGTCCTTCAACTCCAAAATCTCACCCCTCGCATCAACATCAATCTTCTTCGTCAAATCACCACCAGCTACAGCTTTCGTAACTTGCGCGATAGATCGCACTTGGTTGGTGAGGTTCATGGCCATCAGGTTGACGTTGTCCGTTAGAGCCTGGTAGTTCGCGATGACGGGTGTAGAAGAGAGGAGGGGAAGTTGTGTTAGCACCACGATACGACGACGGAAGG